CCCCAAGTAGTTCCTCGCCTTTGTTTGTGGAACTTCCCCCCACCTTTAGGGATTCCTGGTATCTTGCTGAAATCTCTACTTCCCTCCTTTTGAGTCACATCTTCATTATTTCTGAGGCCTTCTGCAAAAGCTCTTTGCTACAGTATCTCCCAGCTCATTAACCATTGGCTGATCTAATCTACTGAATTACTATTTACACTAGACACCACTTCGTAACTGCTAATTTCTACTTAACATTACCAATATACTCTTATTTCCTTGAGCATATTTAGTTTGTTCTTTACTGGTTGAATTCCTCAGACATCAGAACTCATTTTCTCCAGGGAAGTCCTGCAATTTTCACTGGAAGTAAGGCCAATCACATTTCTACTTCCTAGTGTGCGAGGTCAATCACATTTCTGCTTCTTAGAATGGGCTCATGAAGAACATAAAGGGCCCAGGGAACATAAACGCAGCAGCACAATCTGGGACTGATTACCTAGGTTTGCTGTCCCCTCTCCAGACAACCATGCTTCAAAGGGATCTCCCTCATCCACTTTTGTTAAAACCACCTCTAAAACATGTCAAATTTCTTCTGTTGTGAAAGCTTGGCTTTTGGAGTGTGGAGGAAGTACTCCAGCTAAACACCCTACCTCTATTTATCTCATCTGATCCTCACTCCAGCCAGGCTCAGATGGCTGGGGCAGAACTGAGCTACTTAAGTGCTTGCGCTCCTATTCCACCCTGTCATTAAGTCAAGCAGTGATTTGATGGGGGTAATGTATGGAGAAAAAAAATACATTTGAAAGCTTTGTTCAACAGATGCTATGACATTTGCACCAGTTTCTTCACTGTTCCCAGATGCCACATCTTCCTCCAGGGAAACTGTCCTATTTTCTTTCAGAAGATTTTTTTTTTTTTTTTTTTTTTTTGGCAGCTGGTCATTTCGGGGATCTGAACCCATGACCTTGGTATTATAAGGCTGCGCTCTACCTCAGAGGATTTTTGACCTCATTTTTACTCCATGCCCTTTTCTCACAAGTCAACAATTCAGTGGGAATTCACCAATTTGGCAGAAAACACGGGAGATTAATTTATTTAATGGAATTTTTTTGGACATGATTACCTTTGTGGCAATTAGGGAGGAATTACATTTTTTTTGTTTTCTTTGTGCGCTAGCATAATTTAATTTGGGGGAGACTGTAACACTATTGTGCTATGTCATATGCTTCGCCTCTTTGAATAGCTTGATTTCCCCATATCTGAACATAATTTGGGATGGAACATGGAACAGTGGGTGAATTTTTGGTCTCAGATATAAGTAGTGTTGCTTGAATGCCTCTTTCCATATTTTAGAGACAAAACTGAAAAGTTAACAATGATTCCAAGTCAAACAGCAGTAAATATGGGGATGGGGGGGCAATCTCATGATGAAATGATCAGGCTTTCAGTGGCATTGAAGGGAGAGCCACAGCCTGGCCTCATCATATGCTTAGTAGTTACTCTCAGTGGACTGAAAAAAAGCTAATCCATGTGGGAGAGTCACAGGTCTGTGTCCCACCCAACTCCTGGATTACCCCTCCTTTGGCAAGCAAAGCATTATTAATCTTTTCACACTTCAAGCTTAATCCTCTATGAGAAAGTGAAATAAAAAGCAAGTACACATAGTCCACCCCATCAAATGACATAGTCCTCACTGTGCCCTTATAAGCTCAGCCAACTCCCCCAGCCCCACTGATGTGATCTTATTTTTTTATGGCACAAAGTCTTACCTATTTCTTACACTCACATTTGTGCTAACAACTGTGTATATTACAGTTGCTAAAAGGGTTAGCTGAAAACTTATTTTATTTTATTATTTTTTCCTTTTTGTCTTTTTTTTACTGACCGGTAACGGGATCGCAACCCTCGGTGCTGCGCCCGCACCGCGCTCAGCCAGTGAGCAGGAACCCGTCTCCAAATGGGATCCGAACCCTCGGCGGGAGCGTTGCTGCGCTCCCAAGCGGTGCACTCTCCAGTGCACCACCGGGCCGGCCCTGAAAACTCTTTAAAAATATAATTTTTCATCAAATCAAATTCATCATTATATTTATTTACCTCAAAAAAGGTCACCTCTGTTGTAATAGTTAAGATTCATCCCAAATTCAGAAATGTAAAAAACGATTTGAGAAAATATGAAAGGATACAGATTAGCTTCTTTATTAAAGAGGCAGTTCAGACCCACTTATGAGCCAGACCCATTTATATATGCAAAAGTGTAGGATGACAAAATATGTAATGATCCTTTAATTTTAAAAAATATTTTACTTAAAATATACATTATTTAAGCTTTAAGGACAGTGTAGGAAATCCGAGTAGTTGCCATTAAAAACTACTCTAAAGAGTGTGTATTTCCTGCACAGAATTATGCAAAACCTATCATTTAATTCCGGTTATGCAGTGTATTAATATAGATCTAGAAAAATATGGTGAAAGAGTGCTGAGCAACAAAAATGTTAGCCACTTGTGACTTTAAAAATCTTTTATGAAAGTGTAATATATATGCAGAAAATTTATGTATCTTAAGTGCACAGCTCAGAACACACTCAGATAGATATTCAGCACCCAAATTTAGAAACAGATTACCAGCACCAGATAAATAATACCTCTTTTCAGGCTTAGCCAAGGTTAACCATTAACCCGGCTTTCAGTCATGAAGACAAGTTTTGCCTGTCCTTAGACCTCATGTAGATGGAATCATACAGTATGATGGCTTTTGTGTCTGGATTTCTTCATTCAGCATTGTTTGTGAAATTCAGCTACATTATTGCATGGATGTATAGTTCATTCATTCTCATTGCTTTATGGTACCCTACTGTGGACATATACCACATAAGTTTATTCATACTGCTGCATGAATGTCTTAAGATAGTTCTGATTTTTTTTTTTTTTGCGGTTTTACACTAGAAATATTCTAATGCATGTCCTTTGGTGGACATATACATGCATTTCTGGTAGGTTTGGGTAAAAAAAGCATACACATGCTCAACTTTAAGTGCCAGCCTTCCAAAATGTTTTATCAATTGGCAATTCTACCAATAGTGTAGAGTTCCAGTTGCTTACATCCTTGCCAAAACTTCATGTCTCTTCATGCTTTTCACCATTCCAGTGGGCGGGTAGTAGCACTACATGGTGTTTTAAACTTGCATTCTCCTGATTACTAACAGAGTTAACACACTTTTTCATATATTTATCACCAACTGGATATCTTCTATTGTGAAGTGGATGGCAAGCCTTTTGCCCATTTATCTCACCTTATTGATTTGCAGATGTTCTTTATTTATAATAAATCAGGGGTCAGAAAACTATGGGTTGCAGGCCAAATACAGACTGCCATCTGTGTTTGTGAATAAAGTGATATTGGAAAAAAAGCCATGCTCATTTGTTTATATATTATATGTAGGTACCTTCATTCTATAATAGCAAAACGAAGCAGGTGTTAATTGCAAACATCTTCTTCCCCTATGTGGTTTCCCATTCAATTTCTTAATGGTGTCTTCCTGATAAACAGTTCTTAAACTTATTTTATTCAAACTAACAAATTTTTATTTTATGGTTTAGTGTATTTTGGGTCCTGCTTAAGAGAACTTACTGTAAGGTTGCAAAGTCTAAGTTTTCTTCAAAAACTTTATTTTACATTTCATATTTACATATCAATTCATCTAAAATTTATTTTGCTATTTTCTATTAAATTATGAAATTTAATTGACAAAGCATTTATTGGAAAGAACGTACTTTTGTCCATTGCAATTGTCATCTTTGTCAAAAGTCAGATGACTGTGTATATGAGTCTATTTCTGCAATCTTTATTCTGTTCCATTGGTCAACTTGTTTATCCTGTGCCACTATCACACCATCATAATTTCGGTCGCTTTGTAACAGGTTGTGATATCTGAGAATATAAATTCTGTCTTGTACCGGAAAGCCTTGACTATTACTGGCCTTTTCAATGTTCTTATGAATTTTAGAATTAGCTCATTAATTTCCATTAAACCACTTGTTAGGATTTTTATTAAGATTGCACTGAATATATATGAATTCATTTAGGGAAAACTGACACCTTTTTGAGACTGTACTGAAATCCATGAACAAGATATATCCCTCTCACTGTTTTTTAAATTTTTCTGGATACAGTTCTTGAAAATGTTAATTTTTCCTCTAGGCACTTGAGGATTTTTGTAACTGGTATTGTTTTAAAATTTTTCATTTTCTAGGTTTTTTGCTAGTATATTAAAAAACAAATTTTTTTGCATAATGACCCCATATGTAGGGACCTTGCTAACTTTTATTTGCTAAATTTACTCATTAATTCTAATTACCTGTATATTCCTCAGAATATTCTATATACAAAGTCATGTCATCTGCAAATAAAAGTTTTACTTCATTTTTGGAAATGGATTGGTCCTCATGCCTTTTGTTTCTTTTTCTTGCTTTACTTTCCTGGCTAGGATTTTCTGCACAATGCTGAATGAAATTAGTGATAGCAGATATCCTTGTCCTTTTTTTTTGATCCTGGGAGAAAACTGTCAATATCTCACCATTATTAAGTATGCTGTTTGTTGTAGTTTAAGTTACCTCTACATCCAATTAAGGAAATCCCTTTCTATCCATAGTTTACTAAGATCATAACCAATAGATATTAATTTTGCCACATAAATTTTTTGCATACCAGATTACCTTTCTTCATATGGTGTATAACTGACTGACTTTTGAGATATTAAACCACCTTTGCATGCCTGGAGTAAGACCCCTTTGATCTCTGTTTTATCCTCTTTCCAGAACCAACCCATCTCTATTTTGTTTGCCCAGGATTGGGTCATATGAGCACTATAAACAAGTTACTGGCATTCAGAATGGCATTATCATCACTGATTTAGGAAATCAGGATTTACCTTGTGTCATGTAAATAAATGGTAGGTACCCAAACTCTTCCAGCCAAGAATGGGGGGAGAAAAGAGCATTAATTCAACCAACCAAAAAAATGTCTGCTAGAACCATGTATTAATTTGTTCCAAAATACTGGGAATAAGGGGCAATGCACAAAATAATGACACTAGATTTATATCAAGTAAAACTTCAGATAAAATTGCTGAATTACATAATACTGGCAATCTGCACAATCAAACCTATCAATTAAAAAATAAGAGTGGTATGAGAGTTGGGGATATTTTAGAAGTATGAGCAGTATGCTTATTCTCTTTCACTGAAATAGACTTAATTCCAAATTATGTATAAATTATTTATCAAAATAGTATTAAAAATTTTTTTTGCTCAGGTACATTTGAAAACTTCACAAAAATCACAGCCTCCTCTACTGATGAGACATTCATTAAAAACCCACTTGTAAGTTCCTCTAAAGTACAGAAAAATTATGTATTTTACAATTTTATACCTATCAAATATCTCACCAACACATCCTGTATGTTTTACCATTGTAATACTCAAATAATACTGCCTTTCCATAAATTACTCAAATCCAAACTTGCATAGAATTAGATAGACTGCATTTTAAAAGTCTGATGCTCTACCGACTGAGCTATCCAGGCTCGCTGATAGACTGCATTTTAAAAAACAGATAGGAACTGCCATATACTTATTTTATGCTACTGACCTCATGATCAACTCCTGATGATTTTAAAACTTCATTTTATACAATGAAGGTTTAACTGAGAGCTAATAGCTTCTGTTATCTTTCCTATAAACATCTTATTTTAGATCAGAAATATGGCTTTCAGAATTTCCAAGACGTATTTTCCACATTCATCATATTGACAGATTTTGCCTTATTATGATTCCCTGATATGTAAATATAATTTGAATACAAAATAAATATTAAATATTTATAAAATTTCAGTCCTGTATATGTTATTTAGTGTCCAATGAGTTGTATGATCTTGCTGAAGGTTTTTCTCGTTGCATTGTTAAGGGTTCTTCTCCCTAAAAATTCAGATTAAAATGAATCTAATACCTAAATGCTTTCCCCCATTGAGGAACATGAACTCTCAGACAAACACAATCCCTGTTGGATTTCCTATATTCATTATATTCAGATGGTTTTCTAAAAATTAAGACTTGACTTCAGAAATTTTCCATATCAAGTACATTCATATTCCCTCTTCTATGAATTCTCTGATGGCTATTGAAGGCTGATCTGTGGTGGAATTTTTTCCCACATTCACTACATTCATAAGGTTTCTCTCCTGAATGAGTTCTATAATGTACAGTGAGGTATGACTTCTGAGAAAAGACTTTCCCACATTCATTACATTCATACGGTTTCTCTCCTGAATGGCTTCTATAGTGTACAGTGAGGTTTGACATCCGAGAGAAGACTTTTCCACATTTACTACATTCATAGGGTTTCTCTCCTGAATGAATTCGATGATGTATAGTGAGATATGACTTCTGAGAGAAGAATTTTCCACATTCATAACATTCATAGGGTTTCTCGCCTGTGTGTACTCTCTGATGTCTAAAGAGAGATGAATTATGAGAGAAGGTTTTCCCACATTCATTACATCCATAGGGCTTCTCTTCTGAATGACTTCTATAATGTTCAGTGTAGTATGACAACTCAGAGAATAATTTTCCACATATACTACATTCATAGGATTTCTCCCCTTTTGGAAGTGACTGCTGCCCACTGAGGGCTGAATTTACAAGGAGGGTTTTCCCACATTCAGTACATTCATAGGGTTTCTCTCCTAAATGATTTGTATGATGGTCAGTAAGATATGACAACTGAGACAACTTTCCACATTCATTACATTCATGGGATTTCTCTTCTGCGTGTACTTTCCGATGTCTAATGAAGGCTGAATTTAAATTGAAGGTTTTGCCACATTCATTACATTCATAAGGTTTCTCTTCTAAATGACTCCTGTAATGTATAGTGAGATATGATACCCGAGAAAAGAATTTTCCACATTCACTACATTGATAGGGCTTCTCTCCTGTGTGTGTTCTCTGATGTGTAATAAGGGTAGACTTTCGGTAGTAGGATTTTCCACAATCATTACATTTATAAAGTTTCTCTCCTGTGTGTGTTCTCTGATGGTCACTGAGAGCTGATTTTCGGGAGAAGGATTTCCCACATTCATTACATGGATAGGGTCTCTCTCCTGAATGATTTCTCTGGTGTAGGGTGAGATGTGTCTTTTGGCAGAAAGTTTTCCCACATTCATTACATTCATAGGGTTTCTCTCCTGAATGAGTTCTTAGATGTTGAGTGAGATGTAACTTCTGACAGAAGGTTTTGCCACATTCATTACATTTATAGGGCTTCTCCTCTAAGTGTGATCTCCGATGTACAGTGAGGGTACCCTTTTGGCTGAAGGATTTCCCACATACATTACATTCATAAGGTTTTTCTCCTGTATGAGCCCTCTGGTGTATAATAAATTTTGACTTTTTACAGAAGGATTTTCCACATTCACTGCATTCAAAGGGCTTCATTTCCATTTGTGATCTCTGATATGCATTAAAATTTGACATCTGGATGAAGTCTGGTCCAGAATCATTCCACTCATAGGGCTTCTCCCCCATGTAAGCTCTCTTATGAGTAATGAAAACAGCTTCATTGTCTAAGGCTTCCAAGCATTCATTATATTCAAAGGGTTTCTCCAAAATATTAATTTTCTGAAGAATACTTTTTTCATTTTGAGAATAGCCATTCCCATTTTGATTAAATTCATAGGGTTTCTCTCCATCATATGTTTTCCCACATTCATTACATTCATCATGTTTCCTTTTTGCATAGCTTCCATCACTACTAATTAATTCTGAAATAGATTCTAAATTCTTTCCACATGAGACACAATTATGAGCTATTATGCTTGAAGGAACAAGGCTTGTTTCCATATTATAAGTTTTATCAAAGGTATTCTCTCTCTCTTCAATCATGGTTTTGCTATTGATATGAACAGCTTCCCTTGAATATTTCCCTTCATTCTCTTGGATTCCCTCTATCAGGTCATCAGCTTTCCAGACTTCTTCTAAAAAGAAATAAAGTTAAACAAACTCTGTGAATCTGCACACACCAGTTACGTAAAGAGAATGGTACTCAAGAGCCTTACTGTGGGATTGACTCTGGTTTAGGGCCAATCTCACAGATAAAAATAAGTATGAATATATAGTTTTCTTTTTCCTTTGATTTGTAATACAAAACACACACACACACACAGGCTTGGGAGTAGACATGGGGAAGAGATAAAGGTGGGATAAGACTCAGCAGTAGTGAAAAAAGGGAAAGTAAATTCACATTGAATACAAGTACCTTTGTTACTTGACAAATATTATGTTCAAAACTTTGATAGAAAAGGTGAAATAAACCCAAGAAAAGATGTGTAGAGAACAAAATCATTGAAAGAATGCTAGATCCAGGCAGAAATGGGAGGACTCATAGCAAATGGAGTCAACGGAGAAAAATAATTATGGAGTAAACAAGGGTACTTCAACATGTTCATGGAAAAAGATAAAATCAAATGATAATATGAATCTTTCATTGAACTTTTTGAAGGCCCCTTGGATACGTAAAGGAAATATTTTAAGTATGGATTACATTTGGGAGAAATAGATTATAATTCGTATTAAATTGGAAAATATCACTTCATAGCAAGACTGCTGCAGTAACATCCCCACTAGCTTAGACCCTTCCAAAATCTTTGCCATTTTACTGTACACATAAATCCAAATAAACATTCTAAAAGCTCTGACTTCCTTATATTTAGAGAAGCAGTCCAACAACCAGGGCTCCAACTCTCAAGACTTGATTCACGTACACCTGGAGGAGAGATTCAAACACATAAATGTCCAAAAGAAATGTCAGACAGACCAGAGGGCAAGGTAAAATAAGATCTTTAAAATAAGATCAGATCTTTGAAGTGCTCTGATAGTCTTATTTAATCTTAGCTGAACTTGTATGACCGCCGAATTCTACTTTTCCTGCCTGTGCAATATAGCATAGTGGTTAACAGCATGAATGCTGGCGCAGGCTACCTCAAACTCAAATCCTTACACCAATAATTTACTGGCTAGAGGAGCTTGGGCAAGTTACATAACTGTGATGCAGTTTCATTCATCTGAAGTGTAGATAATACTAACACTGCCTAAATCATAGGGTTGTGAAAGGACTGAATTCCTATATGTAACTGCTTAGAAGAGTTTATGACACAAAACAAATACTCATTAGGTTTAGCCATTAATTTTCCTTCAATTTCTTGACTTAAATTTCCTATAACTCATCTGTCCCTATCGTAAAACTTTTACTTAATTCTGAATACAAACAAGAGTTCCCACACTCCTGGGTTCCATTTAGTGTAAAATCTTAAATATCAAATTCCCAAAGCTGCCCCTATACTATTAACTTTTATTTTTACGTATCTTTACAATTTTTTTGGATCCTTTGAACTACTGTTAGCTGCTGTCACCCACATTCACATAACACATTAACAGTCCTGGGCTGAGAAATCTACAACATCCTTGAGCCCAAACACCAACAGAAAAAAACAGAAAAGTTATTTGCAAACAATATTTTTCATCACCTGGATTCATAATAGCACTGCACTAATTTTCCAACAACATCTGCTCCTGGAAGCCTAGGATATGCCTTGCTTATTCCCAACCACAAGGCTGTCCTCATATCTTTTAACTTCCAACATTGGCTGTATTCAAAGCCTACCTATATTTCAGGGGAAGCTTTAAAACATTTATCAAATCTCTTCCCAGCTCATTGAAGCTTTCTTTCCCTTAAATTTTTTTTTCCTTTTTGTCTTTTTTACTGACAGTAACGGGATCGCAACCCTCGGTGTCGTGCCCGTACCGGGGACCGGCAACGGGATCGCAACCCTCAGTGTTGCGCCTGCACTGCGCTCAGCCAGTGAGTGGGAACCGGTCTCCACATGGGATCCGAACCCTCGGCGGGAGCGCCGCCATGCTCCCAAGCGGCGCACTGGAGAGTGCGCCACTGGGCCGGCCCAAAGATTTTTTTTCCTTTTTTTGTCTTTTTTGTGACCGGTAACGGGATCACGACCGGCAACGGGATCGCAACCCTCGGTGTCGTGCCCGCACCGCGCTCAACCAGTGAGCGGACCGGTCTCTATATGGGATCCGAACCCTTGGCGGGAGTGCCGCCGCGCTCCCAAGCGCCACACTCTACCAAGTGCGCCACCGGGCCAGCCCATCCCTTAAATTTTAAAATAGCTTTAACACAAAGTTATATAATTTACACTGAAATATGAATTTTCCATGTGATAGCTGAATTTTAAATCATTCATGCAGCTATGAGGGTACTTCAAAAAGTTCATGGAAAAAGAAAATTAAAAGATAATATGAATCTTTCCATGAACTTTTTGAAGACCCCTCAAATGTTCTCATTCCCTAACCAAAACCTACGCTCTTAGAAAGTATTTCTATTTTCTCTGAATCTCTCCAAGCAGAAATTAAAGTAGTAGCTCCTAACCTGAACCAAATAGGTATTTACAGGCGCTACTCTAACCCCTATCAGTTTTATCAGAATCTATAGTTGAGAATAAATGATCTCTCAATGGATGAATAATAAAGGTCTTTCATTTATCTAGCTCTCAGCTGACGAAAAATTTGCCAAATGCCTACTACATGTTACATACCAAAGCAAAGAAGAGTAAATATGCCATCCCCTCTTTAGAGGATTACAACTCAGAGAAAAAAGATCAAGCAACAAATATATCACCATATACAATCATACTTAACTCTTTTGTGGCAACAATCACCAAGTGGGGTGGACATTAAGAGAAGGGAAAGACTGGAGTGGCAAATAAATAATGAGGCAACTTCAAGGAGTTAAAACTTTTAAGCTCGGGCCGGCCCGGTGGCGCACTGGAGAGTGCACCGCTTGGGAGCGCGGCGGCGCTCCCGCCAAGGGTTCGGATCCCATGTGGAGACTGGTTCCCGCTCACTGGCTGAGCGTGGTGCGGGCGCAACACCGAGGGTTGCGATCCCGTTGCCGGTCAGTAAAAAAGACAAAAAAGGAAAAAAAATAAAAAAACAACTTTTAAGCTCAAATTTAAAAGGTAAAGTTCTGGAAATCTAATGCACAACAATGTGAATACAGCTAACATTACCGAACTGTACACTTAAAAATGGTTAAGATGATAAATTTTATGTTACATGTTTTTTAACTACAAGTTAAAAATAAATGAATGAATAAAAGGAAGGGAAGGCTTCTGGTGAAGATTGTAGAATAGATGGTCCCCAGTGTCACTCTCTCCCACAAATCAACCAATTTACAACTATTAAAAAGTAACAACAGCCAAGCTGGGGCCACTAGAGCTCAGGGGAAGAGGAGGAGAGACCTATGGAGTGCATGAAGGCAGGAGAAACGATGAAAGAAAGAAAGGATCACTCCCACCATTTCAAGCCCCAGCCGCTTCAAGGCTTGTGCTGGTAAGTGCATGGAGTGAGAGCTGGCAAAAGCCACAGCTATGCCTTTAGTATGAAGTTGCTTGGAGGTGGCAGGGGAGAAGGACCTTGGAGGCCCCCAGGCCAGCAAGACCACTAACAGCATTCCCATGGACCCACATAGGAGTGAGGGGTCACAGACAACTGGAAATAGGAGCCACTCAGAGGACAGTGAGTCATTCCAAGGGACCAGTGTATGGGTCACCTCATTGGAAGTGTTTGGAGTGCAGGCAGTGGGGGTGATGGGCTCATTGGTGGAACAATGGGGCACAGCATGGACAGGTGATCTGCTCCCAATCAGTGCAGGACCACCCAGTGGAGACTGGTCAGGAATACAGAACTGCACGGGGTGCAGTTTGCTGAAAAGACTTAGGTACAGACCAGAGTTTGCATACAACCCAGATATACTGGACCTCAGAAGACTCAAAAATACATACAAGATCAACAATTAAAACCGGAGCTGCATAAAAAGCCTTCCCCAGAGAATCAGCAGCAAAGCAGCAGTTTAGCTCAACCACAGGGTTGCTGGTTACCAAAGGAAGTTCCCCCATTTTAGAAGTAACCATTTACTTCTAAACAAATTAGTTCCAGTGCAGAGTTTAAGTGATGAGAACAGCAAATAATCCAATACAGAACTGAAAGAAAAAACGGAATACCCACAGATCAGAGATAAAGTCTGATATTAACTAGTAAAGACCTAACACCACCAAAGAACATCTGTAAGACCTGGGCTCCCAAGCTAGTGAGGGGGGAGGCCATGGGCCTCAGCCACACCACCCCGACGACCATGCCAAGCCCAGCAACAACCACCAGGCCACTGCAGGAAGTGTCCTGGACTCCTGAGATGGGGCAGTAGGGGGCCGAGGGCCTCAGGCATGCCCTCCCAACATCTGCAACCAGTCCAGGGCTCCTGAGCCAGGACCCCCTCCTTCCTACTCCTCCCACCCTGTTTCCTTCTCCCTTCCTCTCTCTCCCTCCCCCCAACTGCTCCGCAACATTTTAGAATGTAAAAAAAAATAACGTAATAAATAAATTTAAATTTTAAAAAAAGGAAGGAAAAAAGGATAATGTGTATTATCTGGGCAAGCAAAGCAAAGGCAAGAAAGAGATGATGATCATTTGAATGGAAAATATTGAGAAATCTAGACTGAATGGAATTTAACAAGAGTTTGGGGAAACAAAGGGAATTAATTTTGATAGGCCAACACAGGATGATATTGTGAGGACTTGAGGAAAGAAAAATTCAAATTCCATTTAAGAAGCAACAGAAAAGTTAGTTATAGGCTTATCTTGTCACGCTAGTGGTGAGACTGGCTGTGTCCTTCAGATAAACAGAGTTTGCAATTTCCCAATAAGACTCAATGTAATCCAGGTATGAGAGAATATTAATGAACATTGATATGAAGAAAAAACTGAGACTATGCAATCTGTAAGGCTTTTCACAAAAGACAAAAAACAGAAACCGTGGAGAGAAGACTAGTAAAACCTAATAACAAAAGAGGGGTGAGGAAGGTGCATGGAATTCATGATTTGGACAGTTCACAGTTCATCATCAGACATTTTAAGAAGGAAGGAAGTAGACTATCTCACTGGCACTGTCATTTTGTCAGGTAAAATGTTCAACTAGACCACAGGCTAAAGGTGTCAGAGATACTAATTTGGATGTCAGCAGTATAAATATAAGCAAAAAAAAAAGCCTTAAAAGTTGAGACTAGGGCCAGCCCGGTGGCGCACTGGAGAGTGTGCTGCTTGGGAGTGTGGCAGCGCTCCCGCCGAGGGTTCGGATCCCATGTGGAGACCGGTTCCCGCTCACTGGCTGAGCGCGATGCGGGCGCGACACCGAGGGGTGAGATCCCGTTACCGGGCAGTAAAAAAGACAAAAAGGAAAAAAAAAAAGTTGAGACTAGAGCCAGCCCGGTGGCGCACTGGAGAGTGCGCCGCTTGGGAGTGTGGCAGCGCTCCCGCCGAGGGTTCGGATCCCATGTGGAGACCGGTTCCCGCTCACTGGCTGAGCGCGATGCGGGCGCGACACCGAGGGTTGAGATCCCGTTACCGGTCAGTAAAAAAGACAAAAAGGAAAAAAAAAAAAGTTGAGACTAGATGAACCCTTTTAAGGGATATAGAGAAAACCAAAAAAGTAGAAAACAGGTCTTGGGGACATTCCTGGAATGCAAGAGAATGAACTGAAAGTCACTTATGAAATAAACACTTCCTAAACATCTACTGTGGACAAAGTATTATCTAGTTATGGGGAAAGAGGAATGAATAGAGAAACAAGATATAAATGAGCACTTGGGGAAAGAGAGGAAGGCCCAATTAGTATTGTATCACCAAATCAACTGAGAATGGATTTCAGGAATAATATACAACACAACAGGGGTGACTGAATTTACAAGCTTAGGTGGAAGATAATGTTTTGGTATTTGAGCACCTACAGAGGTAAGGGAAATTGGGGTCAGAAAAGATGTCTGAGGTATTTCACAGTAAGGAAGGAAAGAAAATGGAAGATAAAAAGAATGAAAATGAAAGTTTCAGGTTAATTTTTATGTCAGACTTTTGATTGCCTGAAAACAAAGAATTCTATGATGATGGTGGGGAGTAGGTAGTGCTAGAGAAACAGAAAGTGAATGAGAAGCACAGAAAATCCCTACCAATGTAAATCAAATGTAAAATCAAAAAAGGAGCTTGCTTGTGCATGCTGGAGCCAAAGTGATGTTTGGGTACTAAGAAGTGTGGTTTATGGGCCAACCCCGTGGCACACCACGGGTTCGGATCCTATATAGGAATGGCTGGTGCGCTCACTGGCTGAGCATGGTAAGCCAAAGTGATGTTTGGGTACTAAGAAGTGTGGTTTATGGGCCAACCCCGTGGCACACCACAGGTTCGGATCCTATATAGGAATGGCTGGTGCGCTCACTGGCTGAGCATGGTGCAGGTGACACCAAGCCAAGGGTTGCGATACCCTTACCAGTCACGAAAAAGACAAAAAAAAAAAAGAAGTTTGGCTTAGGGTATCTGATGCATATATGTCTTCACTCACTCCTAAAGGTTCTGGGATGACCATTTTTAAAATTTGATACTCTATTAACTTACCTAGATGACTTTGACATGGGAATTCACCTTCTATTACCCATGGCTCTTCTCCCTGCTCCAACTTAATGATCACATTTGGTTTGGTAATATCATACCCTGTTAATGAGAAATGGAGAAGGAATTGGATCAGTTGCTTGGCTTCAGAATCTCTAGTACAAGATGATATTGCCTGACAGGATGCATAATAAAGTGCCCCATTTTTTTACTTTATCAAAATTAGAACTTTCCAATGGAGAAGATATGAACACTCTACCTAGTGCCCGAAGGAATTAAATGGTCTTATCACTTCTTCAAACTCCAGGATAAAATCCTTAAATTGAAAGCATTCAGAAAGCAAGCTATCCTCACCCACAGAAACTAGATTGCTGTAGTTCTCCAGCATCACATCCCTGTATGTTATCTTCTCATCAGGGTCCAGCTGTTGCCACTCCTCCTGGGTGAAGTCCACAGCCACATCCCTGAATGACACTGGCCCCTGTAATAGCACCATGATCAGAGCTGGCTGATGTAGAAAATACATATGGGGACTGATCTTACCAGGCTCACTGGTAAAGTTACTTATGAACATTAAAAATCTTATGTTAGATTGTGGAAGAAAAACAAACCATACTGGAAACACATTTCCTTCTTTAATATAACAAAAATAAACAAAAAAAAAAAACCACAACTGAATTTCCATTTTACAACTCAACTAGTTTTGGGGGATATAAGATGAGTAAAACACCAATCCTGCTCTCAAAAAGCTGACAGCCTGATGAGGAGATACACATATAAATATACATATGTGTTTCACTCCTTGTCACTTTCTTCAGTCTCCTCTGCTGCTTGGTATCCCATCCCCCTTCTCTAGGAGGTCCTCATGGCAGAGCACCCATGACACAGTCCCTGGCTCTTTTCTCCCCAACTCATTGCCCTGTTGCTCTCACCCAGCTCCATCTCTTTAATTCTCTGGCTCTTTTATTATCCCAGCCAGCCACCTCTGGCTGTCTGCATGGCTAAGTTTTTTACTTCCTTCAAGTTTTATCTCAAACATCTCTTTCTTGCAGCAATAAATATTTGATTAAATGAATGCCTGTAGATGTTATTAATGATGCATACGAGACAGAGAATGGTTTAACAAAAGGCATTATGCCACCAGATCAGGCTTCGCAGACTCAGTTACACTGAAGTCCTTAAAGATAAACTATGTATTCTACAGGATTAAGGGGGAAAGAATATGATGAGGCGTAAAAAGAACCAATGGCAAAAACTGAAGCAGCCTCAATATTTAAGAAGGTGGTGCAGAAGAATAGGCCAAAGAGACCAAGAAAGCACTTTCTTAAGGCTTTTTGACACTAAGGGTCAATTCTAACTCAAGACAATAAATCAAAAGTATACAATTACTCTCCTGACTCAAAAACAAACAAAAATCTAAAAAAAGTCCAATACGAAGAAATAGAAAAACAGATAACATTCTCAGAAGAGCACCAGAACACAGAGGTTCCCAACAGCAGGAATTTTTTGGAGGAAATTCTTAAGATTCAGAGAAGAGTAGAAGACAAGAGAAATTGGGGCCATGGGATACACAGTTTATAAGGGGCAGATGCTGGGCTGCAGCAAAAGCGAACAGCAGACTCTTCAACAGAGCCCTTGAAAATCTCCAGGCCCATCAAAGGGCCCAGGGTTCCTGTGGGGTGAAGAGTAATTGGTTGGCAGAGAAATGAAAAGGTCATAGGACAACCTGAGCAACTTCAGTGGTGGGCCTGTTTTAAGCACACAGAGCAGCAAGATGAATGTGGAATCTGATAAGGACCCTCTGGCTATGGTATGGTAGCCAGAGACGTGGCAAAGTGTGCAATACGTCAGACCTCCACAATCTGGATGACCACATACTTCATGTCCAAACAGAAAACTTCTGTCTGGGACAAATGATAGACCAGACTGGGATACCGGGAATACAGGTGCAATCCAAGATTGTTTGAGGTAATCAGGACATATAGTCAACTCTACCCATAAAGGACATGGATTTTTTTCCCTAAAGGCAGCTCTTAGAAAACTTGGGCTAGCTGGTAGCTCAGTTGATTATAGCACAGCCTAATAACACCAAGCTCACAGGTTTGGATTGCCATACCAGCCAGCCGCCAAAAAACAAAAAGTCAAAAAAAATTACTCTCAATGCAAAGCAACCTGAGCAAATTAAACCTTGTCTACCAATTCACCACCTGTGCGAAATGAAGCAATGCCTATCTAATTATACATCCCTCCCTATTTACTTCCACAGTCTGCAGCCATCCCCTCCACAAAGGAAAGAGCACTAAAACAGGGTCGTCAGTTGAGTATGTTCACATTGACTATGAATAATTGTTCTCTCACAAATTGAAACAGAAAATCAAGAATTGTCAGCTATTTGAGGATAACAGCATACAGAAGAGATAAGCATTGGGGATGGGGGATTAGCTCAGTCATTTAGAGTGTGGTTCTGAGAACACCAACGTCCAGGGTTCGATCACCAGCCAGTTACCAAAAGACAAAACAAACAAAAAGAAAAGCATCAAGATGAACAACCCAACACTAATGGAACCAAATTCATAAAAGAAACAGAACTTGGGGCCGGCCCGGTGGCGCACAGCGATAGTGCGCCGCTTGGAAAGCGCGGTGGCGCTCCCGCCGAAGGTTCGGATCCCACATACAGACCGGTTCCCGCTCACTGGCTGAGCGAGGTGCGGGAGCAACACCGAGGGTTGCGATCCCGTTGCCGGTCCCGGTCCGGTACGGGGGCGACACTGAGGGTTGCGATCCGTTGCCGGACATGGAAAAAGACAAAAAAAAAAAGAAAAAGAAAAAAAGAAACAGAACTTAAGTATTTTTTCAATTGACTCATGTTTTTGAGTAAATCAAGCAGGATATTGCTTCCATAAAATGAGAACATTCTGCTAACAACCATTGGAGAATACTTAGAAATTAAAGACTGGATTGCTGAACTGTTTTTTAAAAATCCTCAAGAAGCTTGATTAACAAATGAGACATAGAAGTCTTAGGAAGTTTCTCAGAATATAAGAAATGGAAATGATAAAAGCAAATTTGGGATACAAAAGCCAGATCTAACAGGATCAACATTTTAAGAAAGAGAGAACGCAAAGAATGGACAAAAATAAATAATCAAAGACAGAGTTGAAAATGATACCTGAGCTGAGGAATCATGTAAGACTTCACACCAAAAGGGGCCATTTAATTTGCAAACAAGAATATTGGGGAAAAAATAGAGATCCAGAAATTTCCTGATAAAATATCTAAAATTGGAAAAATAAGATAAAAATCCTAAAAAAGTACAGAGGAAAAAAATACACTAGTAACCCTGGTAACTGATGTTCTACTTCTCATCTGATAGCAAACAATGGAGAACTGCCCACAACTTTTGAAAGAAAAATGATTTTAACCTAGAACTGCATACCAAGTCAAACTATTATTTAAGCCTAGGGACACTATAAAGACATTTTCAAAAAAGTGAGACAAATTATTATCTAAGAAAATTGTTTCTTTAAAACAGTCAATGATATACTCCATTGAAACCCAAGTGAGGCTGGCCAGTTAACTCAGATGGTTAGAGCGCGGCCTTGTAACATGAAGGTCAGGGGGTTGGTTCCCTGAATCAGCCAGCCTCAAAAAAAAAAAAAAAAAGAAACAAATAATAAATAAATAAACCCAAGTGAATCCAACAAAGAAGAACATGGGACTCTAAGAAACCTTAGTGAAAGATCAGCAATCATGGCTGTTTTAAGATGCAGTTCTGGGGATTGCAAACATTTAACTTATACCTTAAAAAAGGAAAGTGCGCAGTTAACATGTTACATTATCCTATCACTTATAATGAATATATCAATAAAAGGTCTATTCCCAGTGACACAGCTACAACTGTGGAGGTCCCAAGACTGAGATTCCCTGAGATAGCAGAGGTAGAGCTGCTATCTGATGGGCTAAGAAACTGAAGCAGAACAGCCAAGTTTATCCAAACGCAAGCCAGTTGAGCTGATCAAAATCACCAATAGAGAGAAATAACCTTCTGGGTTGGTCCAGAAAGCAAGAAGGTGGTAAGAGTTAGAAGACTGATCAATCAATAACATAAAATTACATGCCAATATTACTTATGTCAACATAAATATCCAAAACAAAATATGTGCATAACAAAATCCAATACCAGATTTAATGATAATATGTAATAGGCAAATGGGATTTATTCCAAGAATATAGACTGGTTTAATATTTGGAAATCCATTAACATAATATGCCATTATAATATAGCTAAGAAGAAAAATTTTGTATCTCCAAAGACACTTGAAAAAGCTTGACAGTATTCAAAATGCACATCTGGTTTTAAAAAATTCAAAAAATAGAAACTGATGGATACTTCATTATCATGAACATATATGCATATACACAAATATGTATACATACTCTTAAACACTAATATGCATAATACTATGTGTGATATATACACATACTGTATATGTGATATGTATACATATATGTCTCAATCACACACATATATACATTTTGTTGAGTTTATACATATATTTAAAATCTCTCTGCCCCCAGCCTGCACACACACACACACACACACACACACACACACACACACACACACACACACACTTATGCCTCAGTCCTCTCAGTCCTAAAGTCAGGATTTTACTTAACAACGAACCACTCACTATACATTCCCACTAAGATTAGGAACAACATAAAATGCTCATTATCTCCAATTAGAGAACAGAAAACAATTAGACAAATGTAATTGATAAAGAAAAAGTAAAATTATTTCCATTTGCAGATGATATGAAAACTCAGAGAATCAATGATAAAACCAACTCAATAAAAGAATTCTGTTAAGTAACAAGATAAAAAATTAACACACATATAAATCAACAGCCCTCATTACATAAAAAAGAATAAGAACATGTAATTCAAGCACACATGTGGTTTACAATAGCAACTGAAAGGTAAAACTCTTAAGAAATGTACAAAGTCTATACCAGGAAAACTTTAAAATACTCCTGAAAGACAGGGAAATAGACTTGAAAAAATGGACTTGGCTTGGACAGATTAATTTAGTAATACAAAGAAGTCAGTTACCAGAAATTACTTTGTAAATATGTGATCCCAACAAAAATAACAAAAAGCCTTTCCCTAGAACTAGACAAGCGGACACTAAAATTCTTATGAGGCAGGAAAAAAATTGAGAAATGCTATGAAATTTTTTTTTAAAAAAAGCTATTAAGGGGGCCTAACACTACCAGATTTAAAACATAGCTTCTATGATTAAAACAGTTTGGTATGGGTACATGAATACATACATACCAGTGAAACAGAAAATCTAGAAACAGACTTCTATGATTAAAAACTATATTATAATTATATGATAATGAAGATATCTCAAATCATTGAAGCAGAACTGAGTTTTAATAAATGGTGTTAGAGCAAGTTCTAACCACTACGGAT